CGCCCCCCCGCCCCCTACGACCAGCAGACAAGGGGTGGGACGAGACACCGGGGAAGGAAAACACAGGTAGGGCTGAAGGAAGGGGAGGTTGGCAGGGAGGGGGGGGGCGGCGTTCGGGCGATCTGCGTGTACCTATGCACATACATGTACTTGGTTTTGGTATGTATGTATTCACACTTACTGCGAAGATAGAGATACATTATGTACGTATTCACATTTACTGCGAAAATAGTACATGAGGAGGTATGTACGTATTCACACTACTGCGAAAATAGAGCCATGTGTATGTACATGAACAAGTATGTACGTATTGACACATACTGCGTGAACGTATATATACGCGTACGAGTATCGATATGTACACATTCGCACATGTGGATACCTTGCAGATGTTTGTCAAATCGAGTGGATTTTTTCTCTCCTAAATTCGCCGGATTTTTCTCTCCTAATGCCGATTTTTTTCTCGATAAATTTTTTCCTAATGCCGGATTTTTTCTTTCCTAATGCCCGATTTTTTCTCTCCTAATGCCCGATTTTTTCTCCTAATGCCGATTTTTCTCTCCTAATGCCCGATTTTTCTCTCCTAATGCCCGATTTTTTTCGGCCCGATTTTTTCTCCTAATGCCCGATTTTTTCTCTTAATGCCCGATTTTTTCTCTCAATGCCCGATTTTTCTCTCCTAATGCCCTTTTTTCTCTTTGATTTTTTTCTCTCCTAATGCCCGATTTTTTCTCTAATCCCGATTTTTCTCTAATGCGATTTTTTCTCTAATGCCGATTTTTCCTTCCTAATGCCCGATTTTTTCTCTCCTAATGCCCGATTTTTTCTCTCCTAATGCCGATTTTTTCTCTCCTAATGCCCGATTTTTTCTCTCCTAATGCCCGATTTTTTTCTCTAATGCCGATTTTTTCTCTTAATGCCCGATTTTTTCTCTTAATGCCGATTTTTCTCTCCTAATGCCGATTTTTTCTCTTAATGCCCGATTTTTTCTCTCCTAATGCCCGATTTTCAATGCCGATTTTCTTTCTCCTAATGCCCGATTTTTCTCTCTAAGCCTAATGCCGATTTTTTCGATTTTTTCTCTCCTAATGCCCGATTTTTTCTCTCCTAATGCCCGATTTTTTCTCTCTTAATGCCCGATTTTTTCTCTCCTAATGCCCGATTTTTTCTCTTCTCTTTAATGCCCGATTTTTCTCTCCTAATGATTTTTTCTCCTAATTGCCCGATTTTTTCCTCTTATGCCCGATTTTTCTCTCCTAATGCCGATTTTTTCTTAATGCCCGATTTTTTCTCTCCTAATGCCCATTTTAATGCCATTTTCTCTCTCCCTAATGCCCGATTTTTTTCTCCTAATGCCGATTTTTTCTCTCTAATGCCCGATTTTTTCTCTCCTAATGCCCGATTTTATCTCTTAATGCCCGATTTTTTCTCTCCTAATGCCCGATTTTTTCTCTTAATGCCGATTTTTTCTCTCCTAATGCCCGATTTTTCAATGCCCCGATTTTTTTCTCCTAAGCCCGATTTTTTCCTCTCTAATGCCCGATTTTCTCTCTCCTATGCCCGATTTTCTCTCCTAATGCCGATTTTTTCAATGCCGATTTTCTCTCCTAATGCCGATTTTTCGCCCGATTTTTCCTAATGCCCCGATTTTTTCCTAATGCCCGATTTTCTCTCGGCCCGATTTTTTCTCTCCTAATGCCCGATTTTTTCTCTCCTAATGCCCGAATCGGAATGCCCGGAGCCTGTACTTACGTCAGAGTGAGATGGAGTAGTTTGATGTCAGTGGAATCTGTGCTTTTTCGTCGGGCTTCGGGCGGTGACATGAGGCCAGGAGGTGGAAGGGGGGGGGGGGAAGTGAGGCGATAGGGACAGGGAGAAGAATGAGAATGAGGGGGAGGGAGAAAAATGAGGAATGAGTTTGGAGAGGAAGAATGAGGGGAGTGGGAAGAGGGAGTAGAGGTTAAAAAAAGAAGTAGAGGGGTAGAAAAGAGGTGAATAAGAAGAGAGAGAAGAGGAGGAGGAGGAGGACCCGTGAGATCGCTCAGGATGCCGTCGGGAGAGAGGGGGGGAGGGTAGGAAGGAAGGAAGGAGGAAGGAAGGAAAGAAAGGAAATAGGGAAGAAGGAGAGAGGAAGATAGAGAGAGAAGGGAAAAAAAGAAAGGAAGGAAGAAAGAAAATAATGAAAGAAAGGAAAGGGGAAGGAAGGAAGGGAGGAAGAGAGAGAGAAAGAAAGAAAGGGAAGGAGCCTCGCGCGAGAGAGTCCGCGAATCACCTTGAGGAGCCTCGTCCGCGGCGGCCACTCCGGAAATGCGCGGCGGGAGAAAGTTGGCGCGTGGATTTGCGCATTTCGGAAGTCTTTTCCTCGTGCGCGCTTCTGGCTGGCGGCTCTTGCGCGTGCGATTGCGTTTGTGCGTGTTGCAGGCAGAAATATTTGCGTGTGTGTGTGTTTGGCTTTGCCCGTGCGTGTTTCTTCGTGTGCGTACGTGCGTGTGTGCGTAGATGTTGTGCAGTTGCGTGCGTGCATGTACGGTGATTTGAATGTCCGTGCGCGCATTCCAGTCGTGCGTGCGTGTGCCTGCCTGACGGAGGTTCGGGGGCGAGAGCAACAGGTCCCTGGCGAGGAAGTCCAGCTGGCGGCCGACGCAAATTTCAGGCCCAGCGTCGGGTGGAGATGGATGGAGGACTCGGAGCCTCCGCTTTTTTCTCTCTTTCTTTTTTCTTTTTTGTCGGTTTTTTTTATGATCGTCATCAAAGAGGAACACGAGAGAGAGAGGAAGAGAATTACACAGCGGTTCGTACTGGATTGTCCGGCCGCGATTCGTCCGAAGGGGAAGAGCGATTCGGTGGGTCGCTTCGCCTGGTCGGGACAAAAAGCGACGAGGAAGGGATATGCGAAGCAAGAAGAAAAAAATGTGTTGTAAAACGAAGGCAGGAAAGAGGACTCGTGGCAAGGAAAATGGCGCTGACTTAAGAAGGTTAGAGGTTTATTTTTATGTGTGTATTTTGCTTTCTTGTATTCTTGAAAAATCGACACGAAAAGGAGGATTTAAAAACAATGGACGTTAATCCTCGATAAGCAAGCGTTGTGACAGGCGGTTGGGTTCTGGCGTCGAGTCGGCCGAGGCACCTGGCGTCGAGGATCACTCTCTCACGGCCGCCGGGCGGAGGCAAGGTCGGGGTCGCGCTGGGTCAGAGGTCAAGGTCACGGGATGGGGAGAGGGCTCACTCTGTTCCCTCTCGAAGGGTGTGGCTTGGGTATCGTGGTTCTCTCTCTCTCTCTCTCTCTCTCTCTCTCTCTCTCTCTCTCTCTCTCTCTCTCTCTCTCTCTCTCTCTCTTCTCTCTTCTCTCCATTCCTCCCTCCCTCCTCTTATACTTCATCATCCTTTCCTTTTTCTCCTCTTCCTCCTCTACCTTCTCTTTCTTCTTCCTCGCCCTCTGTTTCACTTTCATTATCTGCCTGCAATTTAGCCGACTTTTTCCCCCGCAATTGAGCCGTGAGCAAGTCTCCGCCCTCGCTAATTGGCCACGTGATGCCCCCGAGCACGTGCCCCGCTGCCCCTAATTAGCCAACGGTGACATCTGCTCACCTGCGCGAAACCGGCCTCGGCGCTAGACAAAACGGAGAAATGTCACCGCTAAGTCAGCTCCGTTGCTGTCGTTGCACCTCGTGGCTTGGCAGACGACATGACACAATGCCTCTGCAGGGGGTCTGGGGATGGGGTGGGGGGGGGGTGGTGGGGGAAGGAAAGGGAAGGGGAGGGAGGGGGTTCGCGCTTATTACTTGTAAGGTTTTGTCTCTGGTTTGGTAATATTTTTGGTTCGTTCTCTCTTCTTGTTATTTTTAAGTTTATTTCTCTTCTATCTTCTCTCTGTGGATTTTTTTTCTTCAGACCCCACAGTTGCCAGTGCTGGACTGCCAAGGCCTGGCCGTGTGAACTGATTGCAGCGACGAGTTGGGTGGGCGGGTGGGTGGGGGGGATTAGAGGGGGGCGGGAAGTCAGGCTACGTGCCGGGCCTCGCACAGCACTGCACGCTTCGTTCGCAAGCGCCGTTCCTGCCTACCGTATTTCGCGGATAGCCCGCCGCCCACGCCGCCCACGCCAGCACCCCTTCGCGTCCCCGTGTCCCGGGTGAGGCTCGGCCGAGGCGCCGCGGCCTGATCCGTGTCAGCGGCGGAGGAACGAGGCGAATCGAGGCGGTGTTTCGGGGCATCGCAGAGCGAAGTGGGTCATTCGTTCATTCGCGGGGCATTATTCACTGCGCTGTGACGGCTAACGGGCGGCGTGGCGGAAGCAGAGCATGCCCTGGCAGGTGGGCAGAGTGACAGTGCGCTGCGGATCAGGGCCACGGTATACTTAGTCGGCGCCGCCAGCGCACGCCCCGTTCACTCGCCTTGTGCCCCGCGCCTTGTGCACACCGCCGCTGCTCCGGCCTACGTGCCTCGCCGCTCGCTCGCAAGGACTCGCAGGACTGTGTGTGCCGCTCTCGGCCGCGCCGTGTCGCCCCGTGGTGCCCTCAGTGCCCGCCATGTGCAAGTGGATTGTTGGACGCGAGGTGTGTAGTGTGTGCGGCGAGGCGCCCCCCCGTGCCTGGCCGGGCGCCGCCCACCTGCCCAAAATGCTGGCGCCGCCCGCGACCAGCCTCCTGGAGCGCTACTGGGCGCTCACCGCCGCGCGCATCCCCGCCTGGGACTCGCCGCGGGAAGCGCTGGCCGGCGCGGGCCTCGGCCCCGACGCCGACCAGGCGCCGCAGGACGCTGCTGACCTTTTGACCCAAGACGCCCCGCCCCTTGAACCCTGCCCCGCCGCGGGCCGCAGCGGCGACGGCAGCGCGTGGACAGAGCCGCGCTGCCCTCAGCCAATGGACGCGCTCGGAAAGCTGGTGTGTGGCCAGGCGGGGGCGGCGGCCACGCCCACCTGGCCGGCCCAACAGATGGTCAAGGGCTCCGCGCTGCCCCGGGGCTTCCTCCTCCCAGAGACCGTGTTCCTCTTTGAGGAAGGTGAGGCCCGTTCCGTGTTTGTGCTCGCAGAGGCTTCCTGCCGTGGCCGGCGTGGTGGCCTCTGCGAGGGGGTGGTGGTGGCCGCAGCAATGATGTAATGATAATTGCAGTTATTACAGTTATTTTTCTTATTATTTTGTCATTGCTGTCATCACTTGTTTTTTTTTTTTGCAGTATTATGATAGTGATAGCATTATGATTACCATTGTTATTATTTTGTTTGTAGTTTTAATGTCATTGTAATTATTTTTGTTGCTATATTCTCTCGGGTGGGAAGTCAGATTCTATGAATTTCCTTGCTTATCAAAGGATAAAAATGGGTAAGATGATGAATATACATGGGTATGTTTCTATACGAATTTATATATACGAATGCGTGCACTTTATCGCGCATACGGTTGCATGCGTCGCGCCTCGCCATTCGGCCAGCGGATTGCTTTTCGCCGTTGCTCGCCGCCGTTCCTTCGCTCTCTCTCTCTCACGCGGGGGGGGGAGGGGGTGATAGGGGGCCGCTTTGCGAACTTGCGTGCTGATTTTTCTTTTTTTTTTTCTTTTTTCTTTTTTTTATGTTCTTTTTTCCTTCTACGTCAGCGGGGCAATTACGGGGCGACGCTGGGTGGACGTCGGTCTTGGATTCAGGGGGTTAGTAGGGGGGTAGGGGGGTGGGGAGTGGGGAAGGAGGGGATGGGGGGGGTAAGGGGATGGACTTTTGTAAGCGATTGTGTCACTGTCTGCAGTGGCACGCTGTCTGGCACCCTCTCCCAGTGGCATTATTTCCGGACATTTTGAGAGAGAGCCTTTTCGGCTGAATCGGAAGGGGGGGGGGGGCAGGGGCACCACGGGTAGGGGCTCAGGGGAAGGGGGTAGCATGTTAGGGGTCGGGAGGAGAGGGAGGGGGGGGTGGGATAGGCATCGCCAGTATGGGGGATACGTTCCGAGTGTAGGGGGGAGGGGGAGAAGGAGAAGAAGAAGAAGAAAAAGAAAGAAGAAGGAGGGAGAGGAGGGAGGAGGAGGGGGGATATGTACTGCGTCGTGTCGGGCTGTCGGTGGCATCGGAAGCGAGCGTTCGGGTCTGCGGCGGCGGGGTATGAATGATTACGGCGCGCGCGCGCGCGTCGGAACTGTTACAAGGTTACGCGCGCACGATCTCGGCGGCGGCGGCTGACGCAAGAGCTTCCGCGCTCGGGTGGTGGGGGCGGGGAAGGAGGGGGGGGAGAGGCGCACCTGCTCGGGAGCGCGTGTGGATTAGGTTACAGGGGGTGGGGGAGGGAGGGAGGAGGGGGGTGTGGGAGAGGGGGGAGGGGAGATTTTGTTTGCAGTGGGAGGGGCTTTGGTTGTTTGCTTGGCTTGCTTGTTTGTTTGGTTGGTTGTATTTGATTAGGTTAGGGTGAATTTTTAAGTAGACAAGGGAAGGAAGGTAAGTACACGAGTGGAAAGGTAGGGAGGCAAGCAGGTGGAACAAGAAAGAGGGCAGATAGATGGGTAGGCGGGCTAGCTGGCGAGTAGGTAGGTAGGTAGACAGTTCGGGAAGCAGGCAGGCGGGCGGGCAGGTAGGCGAGCTGGCAAGCAAGCAAAAGAATGGATGATCATATAATCCAAGGAGACGCAGGAATTCGGACGTGGATAGCAGGCAGGAAGACAGACAGACAGACAGACAGACACACGAGACAGGATGGCGGTCGAGAGAAAATGCGCACTCGCGCTCGTGACGTCACACAGGAAGACAGGCAGACAGACAGACAGACAGACACACGAGACAGGATGGCGGTCGAGAGAAAATGCGCGCTCGTGACGTCACACAGGAAGACAGGCAGACAGACAGACAGACACACGAGACAGGATGGCGGTCGAGAAAAAATGCGCGCTCGTGACGTCACACAGGAAGACAGGCAGACAGACAGACAGACACACGAGACAGGATGGCGGTCAAGAAAAAATGCACGTCACACAGGAAGACAGACAGGACAGACAGAACACGAGACAGGATTCGAGAGAAAATGCGCGCTCGTGACGTCACACAGGAAGACAGGCAGACAGGCGAGGCGCGTAGACGGATGGGAGACAGAGCCGAGGAAGAGAAAACGTGGCTCCGTGCCTGCCTGGCGTCATGTCATGCAGGGAGGCAGGAAGGTCGTGCATGCAACCGGCAGGACGCGGTACTTGTGGGGAAAAGGCGTCCTGTCCAGGATCACGTCGGCGGTGGACTGACGGGCCTCCCAAGCCCCCGCCTTCACCCCCCCCCTCTCTTGTGTCACCTAACTCGCTTGTTCCCCTCATCCACTCTCCCTCTTCCCCTCCCCCCTCTCACCTCTCTCCTCTTTCCCTTCCTTCCCCTCACCCTTCCTTCCCCCTCCCCTCGCTTCACACCTCCTCCCTCCCTCCCCTCGCCCTCTCACCCTCCTCCCCTTTCCCCTCGCCCTCTCACCTTTTCCCTTCTTCCCCTTCGCCTCTCACCCTTCTCCTTGTCCCCTCGTTCCATTCCCCATCCTCTTCCTTGCTCTTGCCCCCTCTGCCCGCCCTACGTCACTCACCCCTTACTATTTCCTCTCCACCACTCACCTTGCTCCCTTTGTATCCCTCATCCTCACAGCTATACAATCTCCTCGTTCTCCTTTTCTCCTCACCCTCACCCCACCCCTTCTACCACCATGCACTAACCCCTTCCTCATTTTCCTCACTACCCTCACCCTAACCTCCATCCCTCATCCTCACCCTTATCCTCCGTTTTACCCCCCCTCCCTCATTCTCCTCACCCTAACCTCCCCATCCATCCTCACCCTTATCCTCGTTTTACCCCCCCCCCTCCCCCCTGGCCACCAACCCTCTCCTGGGCCTTCCCGCGTAGGGTGTTGCCCCTTGTTGCATCATCCTAATTTGCGCCATCGAGGAAAGTTCAAGGCCAGCGATGGATCCCCATGTGACGGGCAGGCATGTGCTTGGCGAGGCGGGGGGGGGGGGGTGGCCTTTAGCGTTAAATGGCCTTTGTTGTGGCGTGTCGTAGCGGCGAAGGTGTGTTGTGCTGCGTGTGTGGGTGTTAAAGGGGGCGGGAGCTGGGTCGCGGGGTGTGGGCGGGGCTGGGCGAGGGAGGGCCTTCTGGGGGGATGCTTGGATTTAAGTTTGGGGGGGATGTGGAGGAGTGGAGGGAAGGGGGGGGGGAGAAGGGAAGGGGAAGGGGACACTGGGAAGTGAGGAGGGAGTGGGCGTTGAGAGTATGGTTGTGGAACTGCGTGCATGTTATTTTTGAGAGAGGGAGAGAGGAAAAAAAGAAGAAAGAAAGAAAGAAAGAAAGAAAGAGAGGGAAGAAAGAGAGAGAGAGAGAGAGAGAGAGGGAGAGAAAGAGGAGTGAGGAGTGAGAGAGAGAGAGAGAGAGAGAGAGAGAAGAGAGGAGAGAGAGAGAGAGAGAAGAGAGAGAGAGAGAGAGAGAGAGAGAGAGAGAGAGAAGAGAGAGAGAGAGAAGGAAAAGAATAACGAAAGAAAAAGAGAGAGAGGAGAGAGAGAGAGAGAGAGAGAGAGAGAGAGAGAGAGAGAAGAGAGAGAGAGAGAGAGAGAGAGAGAGAGAGATAAAAGAGAAGAGAAGAGAAGAAAGCGAAAGAGAAGAGAAGAGAGAATAAGAAAAAAAAAAAAAGAAAGGTGCGATTCCGAAGCCTGCGACCGAAGTCTCAGACATGGGATTGCAAGAACGTCAGCAAATTGGCATGTCAGGAGGCAGACTTGTTGGCAACCTCGTAAGTGGCAGACGACAAACAGACCACAAGTCGGGAAGGGAGACCGCTAGACACGACACAGAGGAAGTCATGAGCAAACAGCGAAGTCAATTACGGGGATGAAGAATGGCCAAGGGATCTTTTTGTTTTTTTTTTTTTTTTTTCCTGTTTTTTTTCTTTTTTTTCTCATTCTGTTATGATAATTTTATTTTTTATTTTTTTTTCCTCCTTTTTTTTTTTTTTTGTCTTTTTTCTTTCTTTTTTTTCTTTTTCTTTTTGTCTGTCAGTGGGCGATTGTTTACGGTCATTATGGACGGTATGAATCAGTGTGCAAAAAAAAAAAAAAAAAAAAAAAAAAAAAAAAAAAAAAAAAAGGATAAATCCGCTTATTTCCTTTATGATTAAAAACAGCTTTCACTTTTTTCTCCGTTTTAATTTCTGACCAGGGCGAAGAGGCGGGTGTGGGGGGAGGGGAGGGGGCATAGGATGGGGGAAGGGGTAGGGGAGAGTGCAAGGATCTTTTGACGGAGGAGTACAGGAAGAAGAGGGAGGAGGGAAGGGGAAGAGGGGGGGGAGGGGGAGGGGAAGGGGGAGAGGAGAGGGAGAGGAGGGGGGAATGGAGAGGGGTAGGGAGGGGGGAGGGAGGGGCCTCTCTTTCTCTTCCGTAACGGAGTTTTTGCAAGGATGTCCTTAGGTTATGTCATTAAGGTAGGATTGCTGTACATCCTACTTGCGGGGACGTCACTCTTTGTCGGGGATTTCTCCCGTTTGCGGTCAGGATGTTGGGTCTTTTTTTTTTTTTTTTTTTTTTTTGTTATGCTCTAACCAATTATCTTTTTTTTCCTTCTTTTTTGTTACATCACTATTTTCCTATTAGTTTGGTTGTTACATTTTAGTCAGGCATTTTATACTCGGAATGGCGTTCGTCTTTTCTCCTATTTTTTATTCATTCATTCTCGTTCCCCTTATTATCTCGCATCGTTATCAGGAAATGACGACACGGATTTTCCGTTTCCTACGACACTCGCTTCGCAGCACGAAACGGGCGGCGCTTCCTCGTGGGCGGGGAAGCGCCTTGACTCCTTCGCTGGCATGTCGGAATAGATTGTGTGTGTGAACATATGTACGTATACATACATATATACACGCATATGCATACACGCATATACATACACACATACACACACACACATACACACATACACACATACACACATACACACATACACAACACACACACACACAACACACACACACACACACACACACACACACACACACACATATATATATATA